CTCTGTTTGCAAGTCAGTTGTTCTCCCTCAAAAAAAGCTATGATACCAGAAGCATATCGGGCGCCTTGTACAATTTGAGGAAGAAGTGGTAATGAGCTGCTTTGCTGCTGCTGTTGCTGCTGCTGAAAAAGCGTCTTTTGAATCTGCAAATTGACCACTGTATAACGTTTAAATGACTGTGATGTTTGTTTCAGAAAACTTGCACAGATGATGGATGATTTCGGTAATTTGCTGACGTCTTCTACTGCGTAAGTAGACGAGCGCAATCAGTAGTGGTCGTCAGTTGCAATTATTTGCATCGACAACGTTTGCCTTTGTTTGCCATTGGGTTTTGGGGTGAGTGTTGCATAGTAGCAACGTGTTGCTTACTTTCTTACTTTATGCCCCCTTTGACGTCACCGGTTTGCCGTTGACGTTCGGTGATGGTATGCAGCAGATAGGCGAACAATTTCTTTTCCAAGAATCTTTTACTTCCCATTGTTCTCAAGAAAACGTTCTTTTTTTTTTTTTTTTTTTTTTGAATCGTTGAAATTGTGTCTTTGTGACATTGTAACTATTTTTGTTTTAAAGCACGTTTTTATTGCTTTCTTACTCATCGATTACATCAATGAATCAATACATGTGAAAGTCTTAAAATTTATTTTTATTTATACGAGCATTTTTAGTTAAAAAATCATTACTGCTAATATAAACTTCCTTTTTTCATATACATTTATTCTTATTACATCATTTTTGATAATAATTTGGTAGTGAGGACTTGATGTGTACCAATGAACTTCTGTGGCGGTAACTACTTGAAAAAACACTTAACTTATTTTTTCACTATATTGACGTTACATGTATTCAGTTTCAGATCTTTGTGTCTGATTCGATTCAAGAAACACACTGTTTTAGAGCCATGTTATGCACACGACAGCTGCGCCTCTGAAAAGAAGTGTCTGATGACATACGGGAAGCCAGAAAATTCGCAGGCCAGAATTATCACAAGAAAACAGTCTACAGTGCAATCGGTTTTGACTTCAGCGCAATATGGTTCTCTTTCGTCCCTCTGCAGGTTGTTGTTTTAACTTTTAAAGAAAGAAAACAATGAATGTTTAAAAATACGCGGAAATACATCTTCTTAATTTCTGCCTTATCAGTCATTGTTAAATTCTTACACTGAGAAGGAACAAATTGAGAAACTGAATCAGGATTTGTTCAAATGCATCCTGTTTTTCAATCCGCATTCAAGCACTTTCTTAGCACTTTGATACTGCAACCACTGGATCGCTTGAAAACTTTATCCCAGCAGGACACTGGCCGTCGAGTTAGCGCTTTCACGAACGCAAGGCTGGTAGTTCAGAGGCATGGTGTTATTGATCTATGGCGAGGATCTGTACCAGTTAGTGAATTTTTGTAACTTCTGTATCTTTTTTAGAGTAAATATCATTTAAAAGTGTTTTTGGATTACAGACAATACTGAGGGTCGTCCCTGGCGTTGCATTATATTTTGGTTTCCTTGAACTTGGTCAGAAATACATCGCTCAGTCTGAACATCCACTTACAGAGAATTTTCTGTTGGGATTTGTTTCTAGGTCTTTTGTGGCTGTAACTTTGATGCCGGCTACAGTTATCAAAACACGTTTTGAGGTTCCGCTGTGAAAATTCGAAACATCTGTGATAAGTTGAGACATTTTAGAAAATTATTTTGTATTGTTTTATTCTTTATTTTCAGAGTAACATCTATAGAGATGAAAGCATTTATGGAGCTGTTAAGCGTATAATGAAATCTGATGGTTTCCAAGGTTACTTTTTGGTTTATATATTTATGAGTTTTTTCCTGAATTGCTCGTTTAGCTCAGTATCAGTTGTATCTTACCAAATTTTTTAAAAATTGGTTTCATTTCTAGGTTTGTTTAAGGGCGTTATACCTACTGTTTTACGTGATGCTCCGTTTTCTGGTATTTATCTAGCTTTTTATCGACAAAATAAAAAGTTATGGGAGAAACGTAGGTGCTTCGATATACCTTGTCTAGATTCAAAAGCATCGCTAAAATAATTTATGAAGACGTTATTTCTACTATTCTTTTTTAAGTTCACCTTGTTTATTTTATTAGCTTTTCTCATACATTGCTAGCTAGAAAGCTGATGTTTTTTTCGCTTAGATTTTGGCCAAGTTAAGGCTCTAACCCGCTTTTTCTGTGGGATTATGGCAGGGGTTTTCGCATGCGCGGTTACTCAACCCTTTGATGTCACTAAGACACAGATGCAGCTCTATCCAAATCGTTTTTCATCGTCATTGCAGGTTGTTCGCTCCATTCACAAGGTTCAAGTTTTCTCCATGTTTTTTCATCTGTTGCTAACGAAAATTTAGGACTTATTTTAGTTGGCTTTCAAGCATTCAGTTTTTTTTAGACTGGTGGCTGGCTTGCCTTTTTTAAAGGGTTTATATTAAGATCATCAAGAAGGACTGCAATGGCAGCTTTGAGTTGGACTATTTTTGATGAGGCAAGTTCCTTCGTCGGTTAAACTGATGCCTTTTTGGTAAAAGAGGGCTTACGCATTTTAAATCAGTATTTTGTGCATTGGTTTGAATTCTAGCTCTCTGTGGTTGAGATTCTTTTCCTTCCCCTGTTCTGTTGCGTATTTTAGGAATAGTTTTGGCATTTTAATTGCTGTTATCATTTTTTAGCTATGGAAGGCGCGAAGTCGTTAGGCGTACTTTCAACTAGAGGTTTTTTTAGAAACAAATTCATCGTGAAATTTCGATGCTACTTCTCCCTTGAACGTTGCTGTTAATTTAAATGTTGTTTCGTCAATGTATATAATAATAAAAAGAAGACTTTGCTCAGTTTCTGTTTAATTTTTAACCTATAGCAATGAAATTATTAGTAACTATCTCAAGTGCAAACTTTTAATAAGTTTTTTAAAATGATCATATAATTAATTGCTTCTGATCTGACGCCTGGTTAAGTTTATGTAAATATGAAATATGACTAAAGTTAGGTGCTTTCGAGTGACGTACAGGTTCATGATTTTTGTTTGTGTTACTGACAGTTGAATGTGAAATTTTAGATGCCCTTTTTAGTTGTAATTGTGATGTAATAGATCTATTTGTTATTTTGAAGTTTATCACCTAATCCCTTATTCACAAACTAATGTTGGTTGTGATGTTTTTTGCTGTGTTGTAGCCGATAGTTATCCCGTTACGTTTATCATCCCGTTTCACTGTAAAAGATTTTTTACAGTGTTTGAAATTGATTGCTTGATATTCTTTTTGAATGCCACATTTGGGTCTTTATTCCTGCCAATTTGTTGATTTTTCTTTTTCGCTATTTACGGTTCTGTGATCTTATGTACAAGATAAAAAAAAAGTAAAAATTGATTAAAAAAATTTTGAAGACGTCTTTGACGTTTTTGATCTCTGAATATGAGAAGTTCCTCTCTGTGTGTTAATTCATACTTAGGGATTAAAATTGTGAATTTCATATCTGGTTATTCTATGTTTGTATAGAAGTTTTTCTAGTTAATTTGTTTTATTTTCCGTTAAAAGTAATTTTTAGCACGAAAAGTGCCAAAGCCGCTTTAAACATTTTCTAAATATATTGGTACGTAGGGGTGTGCATCTAAAATATATATCATAAATAAAGATGGGTCGCATATATGAAGAAAATATGAAATTTGGCGCACCCAGATTAATTTTTTTTTTTTTTTCTTAGTATGTTCAAATAAACGTCAACTATTGACTTTTTCCCCCGTTGTTCTTCTTCTCCTGGTTCGGGGGGTGAACTCTGTGTCTGTGTAATGCGCAGGGTGGCATAGTTGTTCGTGTTGCTGAGGCTGCTCTTGGTGGCGGTGGCTGGTTATGCTACTAAAAATTGATGCGTGTGTACGAGGAGAAGGAGGAGAAGGACGCAAACCAAGGGGGCAAGGAGAAGAAGAGGTAGAAAAAGAGGAGTTGGTTATTTTGGATGGAGATGGGTAGAAAAAGTTGAAATAAAAATTGTTTGTATGAGTGAGAAAATAATGCGGATAGAGGGACAAGAAAAATACATTATTTCTTCGATTTTTTTTCCTTTATTCTGTCATTTTAAAAGA